TGTGTGTGTGTGTGTGTGTGTGTGTGTGTGTGCTGAACTTTGATTCATAAAGCAATAGTAGATAGCAGACAGTAAAAGAAGTAGTCTTATCACTGTCAGACTGAATGACCTCCAAATCAGTACAGTTAATACATCCATATCTGTGGTCAAGAGAAAATACTCAGACTCATTTCTTGCATCAATAAATGCATCTGCATTAACAGTGTTGCCACATTTTTAAACCATGCTTGGAGTAAATGTTACTTTGAGGCTGTTAGTGCAAAGTGCTTATGCTTATTGATTAACTTCTAAAGACTCCTTGGGCTCCAGAGCTGCAGGCTTTCCTCTGGGCCTCTCCATGTAGCCTAGTTTTATTCTAGCATCCCCCCCAAGAGTGCAGTTATTTTCAGCAAAATGTGGTGTTCTGCTCTGATTTTGTCAATGCTTTGTTCTTCACTGTAAAGAAATCACAAAAAATGTATAGAAGCAGAACACTTCCTAATATTTTAGTAAACAGCTGCTGTTCCAGATGTGAAGTCGGTCAGGCTGCGTCTTCTTTCCAGCCTCAGTAAAGTCATTAGATAAAAGCTTTTCTTTAGCGGCATTCAAACATTCAAACACTGGAGGGAATTGGTCTGTTGGTTCGACCAAACCTGGCCTTTGTTTGGTGGATAAGTGACGCAGGGATATTGATGTGATTAGAGTGATTACACAGAATGGACGGATTCCTGAGCAAGGTCCAATAGCTTCCATAGTTCAGAAATTGGTAAATATTAAGGTTATGCAAGACTGTGTGGTCACATTTGGCTAAATAGCTAAATCAGCAGCTTCAGGATGGTATTGTGCACTATAGTCTCCTTGGCAGCATAACTAAGATCCTGCCTAATGTGCTTTCACCTGACCTATCTGAAAACAGGCTGAACTTTATCTTAAATTTCAGTTAAACTCAGTTTTATTTATATCATTACACTCGCTTAAGGTGCTTTATATGGCACGGTAAAGACCCCAACAATCCAGTGACCCCCAATGAGCAAACACTTGGGGACAGTGGGAAGGAAGAACTAACTTTTAACAGGAAGAATTCTCTGGTAGAATCAAACTGGTCGGGGGGTAAGGGGTGAAAGACAGGATAAAAGATGCACTGTGGAAGAGAGCCAGAGATTAATAATAACTAATGATTAAATGCAGAGTGGTGTATGAAGGGAGAAGAAGAGACACTCATGAGAAACCCTGAGCAGCCTATGCCTATTGCAGAGTAACTAAGAGAAGATTCAGGGTCAACTGACTCAAATAAGTGCTTTATCAAAGTACACCTTTAAATCTTTGCTGTTAAAATATCCAAGTTTGAGAATTTGAAAACATAACCTGGAAAGGAGATAATGCCTGTGACAGTTATTTAGCTAAATTTCCACTACAGTGCAGTATGGTGCTGCATAGGCGTTATCTTGTTTTGTACTTTTTTAGCTTCGGAGAGCTGTTTTCTTGCCTTAACGGTCAAAGCAGACTTCTGCAACTCACGCCACCCACACGTTGTGTATGTATAGCCCACACCTACCCCTATTCTACCCAGTGGTTTGAAAACAATGCTTTGTGTATTTCTTATTTGTGAAACCTCGATCATGAACAGGGGGGCTCTTACACTGTTATATAATGCCTCCCACTCTACTGTAATCCCTCTTATGCTAACTTAGCACCCCATGTGACGGTGCTGGACCGCTGGAAGAAAAAGGGTGGCTGTCGGGACTGTCGGCAAGGCATGGGTGCTCTTCGTAGACTCTGGCCACACACCTACACACAAAAACACACACGCAGTAGCCTGTGTATAAGAAGGAGTATTTATCCTAGGAAGTGCTTTACTTGGATTTGCGATGCTGGATGGAGGCACAACACCGGTGCTTGTCTTCATTGCCAAGGCTTGGAGTAGATATCTACTACATGGAGCATATGTTCTTAATGACACTTTGGCTCTTTTCTTCATCTGCCTGTGAGCCACAAGAGGGGATCTTTGTCCTCCGATGTGTGTAGCAGAGTTAGACAGATTCAGAATTTAGTCTGTGTGCTGACAGGTTTTGCCCGTTATTGATATTTTTACTGCTGCTTTCTGATTTTTGAGTGTTGGGATCTGGAATAATCATTAGGAATTTTAAGATGTTAACTTTATCCATATGTTTTGACTAACACACTCTACAAATGGGATGTTTTGCATTAATGTGCAGCACCCATAACTCAGTTTTTTACGTTTTCTTTCACCTCCACAGGAGCCATCAATGTGGACTTCAGCTGGTGATTTGACAAGTCTCGTATAGGAGCATCCCGAGTCTCTCCTTCCCTCTCTCCCCCTCCCTTTCCCTCTATCCCTCCCTCCCCCATTCCCTTGTCAATCTCCTCCCTGATCCCCCTATCCCCCTTCTCCAAGCTTCACCATGCTCATCAAGGAGTACCGCATCCCCATGCCCATGAGTGTGGAGGAGTACCGCATCGCCCAGCTTTATATGATACAGGTGAGGCAACACAACCATGGTTTCCAGCAAATCCTCACCCACACACACGCACCTAACTAAAAATGAACAACCGCAGAAACGAGGGGATGAAAACGAGCAGTCAAAGAGGAGATAAAGTAACACGGGGAGTTCTTGAAGTGTGCAATCACAGCATACTCAATGATGAAAACGATTGGTCGTATGATGCGTGACGTTGGTGGAGCAACTAAACAAAGAGAGCCTGTGTGCTGATAGATTATCCAGTTTAAACTCTCTGAAGCTGGCTGTTTAAAGCTGTCATAGACCGCATGTTTCTGCACTCGATGAAACTCCATGTACACACACTGCTGCGACGGAGATGGACATACTGCTTTCATTTGTCAAAGCAGGCCCTTAGCTGGAGATGGATGGTCTGTGTTAGAGCATTAGGGTTTACAGCGCCTGCAGAAAGGGCCCATTTATATAGCTTTAGTTCTGCTGTGCAGCATTATATCCTCTTCATATGGCATGTGTACATGAAGGTAGATTTACTTAATCCAGCAGTACACAGAGGAGGTATTGATGCCAAGACTCAGGCTGTGGTAAAAATACAATGTTATTTATAGTTCAGAGATGTGCATATTAGGCATTAGGTGCATTTGTTTGGATTTGAGCTGCACGGTTACGTAATGTGTGTTTTACGATCATTGCAGAGCAAGCTGAAGTTACAGACCTGTTTGATCAAGTTGAGGTTTTTCGAGTTTTGATGCATTTTGCCTCTTTGCTGATCTTACATTGCGATGGTAATGTGAGTCTGGTTGCTTTTTGCTATCAGAAAATAAGATCCACAAAGAGTGCAGAGTAAATTCAAAGCACAGTATCAAGAGAAATCGGCATCTTAAGAGTCGAACAGTCAAACGTGGGAGCTTTATTTTCGACCTGCATCTCTCAGGGTTCAGCTTTGTTGGATAGGTTCAGCATTTATGACTTGTGTAAGGAAGGCCCAGGATGCTTTCATGATGTAGACCAGCTGTTAATCTTACAGCCAAATAAGGAAGTCGACAGGGTTGTTTAAAATTAATATCCACCCACAGGTATAACAAGGCTACATAGAGATTAATTCAACTGTATTGACTCTGAAAGCCTCTCCTTGTTTTTGCTGTGTACTTTAAAAACAGCCTGTGTCACTAGCTGCATTACATCATTGCAAATAGAGAGAGTGAGTATTTGAGAGAGTATAAGAGAGAGAATTTGGTTGTTGTAACGGTCTCACCAGTTACCGGTTTTCTCTGCATAAGCTGAAATGAGTGTAGAAAGAGTGTGTACGTCTTTTAAAGAATTTCAGATATATTTGTTTATTTTTTCAGATGATAAAGATGTTTGTTGTTCATGTTTGTTTGCTTGCTTTTCTAAACGTCCTCCCGATGCTGTATCCAGCAGACAGGTTGTCCGCTTGAGTTGTAGATGTGTGGGAACATGACTCAGAGGACATGCCCCAAAGCAAGCAGACGTTTCAAGACGGCACATGTCGGGCTCTGCGGCACACTTCTTCCTCACCTCATAATTTACCTTTATTGTATTTGTGAAGAGTTAATTAATATTTTAAAAACCTATATGTTGTGTGTGTGTGTATGTGCTTTTTAAAAAAAAAAAAATTAGTCTTGAACTGCTTGCCTTTCATATTTTCAGGACAAAGGCTGAACACGTGAGAAAGTCTGCTAAAGAAATTCTTTGCGCGTGAACTCTAAAGTATGTAAACAAAGTCCCAGGATGAAGAGTTCCAACATCGTATTGACCCATAGTTACCTTTCCCCCTGACCTAACCGCCTCTAAACAGCCTCGGTGCGCTGAGGCTTCTGTCACTATGGCAACCATGACATCAGCAGCATGCCAGTGGTCAGGTTTTGTTCACGAGAAGGAGTGAATAAAAAAAGTGAATGAGGAAATGGAGGATAAAAAGAGAGGCAGTGAAGAAGGGATGGGAAGAAATTTGAGAGAGGGGGTGGAAGGAAAGAGAGCATGGCTATCCTCACTTCATTGCTTTATGTTACCAGGGCAACTGCAGCATGTAGGCCTGTCCGCCCGCCTGCAATCCATTCTCAGTGAAAGCCTCATAAACGAAGCCGGGGCCTTAGGACAGCCTAGCCATATCTCTACCTCACCAGGTTGCGCCCCACCCTATCTCTCCTTTCACGTTCTTTCCTTTGCCCCTTACGACACTTTCTTATATGATCGGTAATTGTCACATTCTTCTCACAATCGGGAGATTTACAGTAATAAGAAAATACAGAAAGTGTGAGATTTTAAATATGAGCAGTTCTCATTGTGCCTCATTCATCCACACAGGCCCTACGTGTTTTGAATTAGTAACTGTGGAGTTATCGTTAAAAAGGAGCATCTCTAGCAGGAAACGCGCCTCGCGAGAGGAAAATGCCAGGATGTGACTCCTATCCTGTCATAGTAGTCGGGTCTAAACATGTATAGTTGGCCATCATGGTGTAGTACTTCGCAAAAGTTTGATGGCTGTTTAAAGAAAGTAAAACTGTATACATGAGAGACTCCCTGTAGAGGGCATCAAGGTACCTCCTTCTACACTTATTTTCCTCCAAAGGTACACTTTACCTCTGTATGTGAATAAATTAAGTGTCCTGTATTTTGTAATATATAACGTTACATTGAGTTTCTTTATTTTTAAACTTGTTATCTGTTCCCGCTCTTCCCGTTATGAGAGCAGCTACGCCCTGGCCAGTGTTTTATGATCTTTTTCTGGTGAACTGGAGAAAATTACCCAACGCTACAAAGGGAAGAAGGAGGGACTCTGCCTTTGACAGGAAAACACGGGGATGTAGTGTTTGTAGGTTGGACTTTTCCTTTTAAAAAATGCTTAAAATTCATCATCAGTGGATATGTATTTTTGTTCTGTATTTTCGTAGTGAGCTTTTTATAATGCACTGTAATCTGGAGATTATCTGTTCACTTGCTGTGACTGAGTTTCTGTATCGCATACTGGTTGAGTGTACGGCCGGTCTGACGTTGCTGTGGTGGTGTCTGTGCTGTGTCTTTGGAGCTGTGTCTGGTTGTTGAGAGCTGGGCGGGTTGCTAATGAATGACCTGTCAAAGGTAATGAGGTCCAGTGTGCTGGATGCCTCATGGCTTCCTCTTCCCTGCTCCACTGATTCACTGGTTTGCTTCCATCACCTCGCTCTGCACAGCTGACTGGAGGAATCGGTCTCCCTATTATGCCATCGCTGCACTAAACATGCCGTTAAACAAAGGTTAAGCTGCATATACTAACACTGAACAACTGCTGATAAGAGGGGGAAAAAAAACATGATACATCAGAAATCTGACTTTTTATGGTCCTCATGTCTGTCGTCAGCACTTGGACTATGTTCTGCTGTTTAATGTTTTCTCATTGACAAGTTTCACAATTACAAATTGTCCTCTAGCAATTCCTGACGTTTGCACCATTGTGGCTTCACACAGCCGCAGCTGCAGGCTCCACCCGGCTTCTCCTCTTATGTGCATCTGCAATGTAAATACAGAAAAGGTGTGGCTCCACACGCTGATTCTTTTTTTCGGATCTTCCTGATGTGCCGTTCAGAGCTGGAGGTGCTTCCAGGAAGCTATTAATTTTGTGTGTCAATGCCATACCCAGACTGATGCCTCACACTCTCTGCAAAAATCCCATTCATTTAGTTGTTTGTTCTCAAACATCAGTTCCAGATTTAGTGTGAAATTATTATTACTAAAAATTATTAGAATAAAAATGATCCTATGTTGTTTCATCTAACACCGCCACACTTTGTGCTTTTCTACTAATATGCAAATATGCATTTCTTCTTTCATTATTCCTCTTACAGAAGAAGAGCAGAGAAGAGAGCTGTGGTGAAGGCAGTGGGGTGGAGATCCTAGAAAACAAGCCGTATACAGATGGACCGGGCGGGACCGGCCAGTACACCCACAAGGTCTACCATATTGGCATGCACATTCCCAGCTGGTTCCGCTCTATCTTGCCCAAAGCGGCACTGAGGGTTGAAGAGGAGTCCTGGAACGCCTACCCTTACACCCGCACCAGGTGAGATTGGGTGATGTAAGGAGGCCACCTCGACACTTTTAATGCAGCATTGTGTCGATACAGGAGGATTTTCTCCTTTTGGATACAATAAAGTAACGTTAGCTTTAACCTTGACACCTCTTTAAAGCAGGGTAGTAGAAATACACAGGCTATTTTAATAGTATAAATGCTTCGTGCATGTGACATAGCTGCTGCCGGTAGATCTACATTCATTTACAGACAAAAATCTAGCCCAGGTTCTGCAGAGGATAATATTTTCTGCCATAATTGTATTCAGTGATTAATTTGATGATTCCAAGTCCATGAACAAGTTGTCAGAATATTACCAGGCAGCCCATCAGATCGGCGCATGGCCAGCAGCGCTCCCAGACAGCCAGACGTTGACAGCCCCTCACTTTCAGAGCGTCAGTCCATTTGTCTGTGTGAGGTCTGACAAACAAAGATGTGAAGGTGCTGAAAAGAGATGTGCCCTTGACTGCACACTCAGGATATTGATAGACTCCAAGTGCTGTTGACACATCTATTCAACTAGTGACAGTTTTGCTACAGATGCAGCAGATGGGTATGGCTTAAGTGTCTTTTATAATCAAAAGTAAGATGGGGTTGTCACTCATAGTAAAATAGTTCTGCTCTTGAGTTATTAATATAAAATGAGTCTCCAAATGAAGGGAGACACAAAACTCACTGGTTCTTTGTTGGGACAGTTGTTTCATTTCTTTTTTTAAATTTCTTCTCCCTTAGATACACTTGTCCCTTTGTGGAGAAGTTCTCTATTGATATTGAGACATACTACAAGCCCGACACTGGCAACCAGGCAGATGTCTTCAACATGTCAGCAGCAGAGAAAAGACAGAGGACTATTGGTGAGACCATTTGACGTCTGCCCCGAATGTCTGTGTCAACATAAAACTCAGATAATAAAATAATGTGGCTAATTTCACTTTCAAATTGCACACATACAAAGCAAGCTCAGGCTGCGTGTTGGCATATGGCCGCATTAGAGAATCAATACAGCAAGTAATGATCTCCTCATTCAGAAGCTGAAGGCGTTTTGCTGTCTGTCCTCTTGCTACTAAGATATGCAGTGGATGAGGCCCACTTGTGGTAGCTTAATGTTACAGCATCTGTTATTTTTCTCTGGTTATGAGTGTGTTTTCCCAGTGAAAACAACGCCCTGAAAGGAATGGCTCTTAGGGTACGCAGTGACTCAGTTCCACTATTGTAATTATTTAAATCACTTGTGTCTGTGTATCTTATAGTGTTAGCTGGAATTCCAGTTATAAAAAGAATTTGAAGCTGTTAAACACAAGCTCATACAAGTCAGAACTACTGCTCCACCCACTTGTGCACACACTGTAATGTAATCGCAAAGCCTCAACAACTTCCAAACACCTGAGTCCATAAATGCTTACCCTCTGAAAACGAATCGTCTTTTGCAGACCCAATTGACATAGTGACAGATCCCATCCCCACTCATGAGTACAAATCAGAGGAAGACCCGAGGCTTTACAAGTCAGCCAAGACCCAGAGGGGTCCTCTGTGGGACGACTGGATAGAAGAGTACAACAATAACCCAGGCAAGACCCCCATCATGTGTGCCTACAAGCTCTGTAAGGTGGAGTTCCGCTACTGGGGCATGCAGTCAAAGATTGAACGCTTTATTCATGATGTTGGTGAGTTGAAGGTCCCAGATGTTCGTGCATTTTTAAAAATAATTTTTCATTTTACTAATACCCTATTTAGTTACAGTGTTAGCGAGGGTTTATTGTTCTGCAACTGTTTTTCACTAGGCTTAAGAAAGGTGATGGTGCGTGCCCACCGGCAGGCCTGGTGCTGGCAGGATGAGTGGTATGGTCTGACCATAGAAGACATCAGGCAGCTGGAGCTGGAAACCCAGCTGGCCCTGGCTAGGAAGATGGCTCAGTTTAGCCAGGCGGAGGAGGCCACCGAGGCCAACGGAGGCACACAGTCTCCAGACAAAGACCAGGAGGTTAAAGAGGCAATCAGCTGTATCGAAGCTGAAGCAGTCGTTCCCAGCTCAGGAGGAGAAACTCTGCAGCCACGAGGTATACTTACCAAGCAGTGGTCCACCTCCTCCCGATCCTCCCGATCATCCAAGAGAGGAGGTGAGGAACATGCCATCTTCATGCATTTACCCTTATCACTGCTGTGTATGACTTTGTGAAGCTGGCACATCGATGTGATGTGTAAACGTCTTGATCCACCCCTCATTTCATTATTTTTGCTTCCAAAGAAGCAGGCTATTTTTTATTTATTTATTTTTTTTAAGCGGTCTTGAGCAATAGTTTTCTAGGCCTCCTGGAGAGGTTTTCTTTAGTCATTGGCTGCTCTTTCTCTCATTTTCAGTCCAGTTCTTATCTCAACTATTTTCAGAAGAATGTATTTTTGTTTGTTGAACAACTTAACACTGATTTGAGCCATTCAAGGGTAAAGGCAAACAACTCAAGGGATGAACCAATGTTGTGTCTACAGATAAGAACGAGTTTTGGATTCCATTTTCAGGCACTTCATTACTGGCAACCTGTAACAAAAGCAGTTTCTTCCTCTTCATTTAGTCGAAAAATTGCAAAGATAGCACAGTTTGACAGGCATAAAATTTTACACCAACAAGGTGTTTCCTGAATAGCTATTAGCTGAAAACTTGACATATCTCAACATGGTAAGTAATGTCCTTAAACAATCTGCGAAAGCTGGACAAGTTGAGGGGAAAAAAGAAGTGACACTACACCTAAAAAATAAAACTATCTTCAGGAGATGAACAATATCTGAAAGTCGTGTTTTTTAAAAAAAATCTAGCACAAACCAGTCACTATCAGTCCTTCCCAGAGCCCAGATTTCAACATTATTGAAGCAGTGTGGGATCATCTCGACAGAGAATGGAACAAAAGGCACCCAACATCCAAAGAAGAGCTTTGAATGTCCTGCAAGAATTCCTGAAGACTACTTATAGAAATGAAAAAGATGCCTAAGAGAGTTCTTTCTTTCGAGCTCATTAGAATTGTACAAACTCTGTTTTTGCCTTACATACGACATTTCCATGTGTGTTTTTTAGTATGTGCAAACATACATGGAAATCCTTGCACCCATTTTCCTAGTAAAATATAAAGAAACGAGGGTGCTCAAGGCTTTTGCACGGTACTGAACTCCTTCTTGTGACAACTGTATTTACATCTCATCGTGCGTTAAAGTCTTATTTGTTAAGTCTTGCATGTGACTCATTTCTGCCTTTTATATATTTATGCATGCTAACATCAAAGTCCAAATATCCTGTAAGTGAACACAGCATACTGTGATACTGTAGACTCGTCCACACTAGAAAGCTAGTATGTGAAGAATTCAGTCGGTAAGGTCAAGCTTCAAGCTGGTGCAAAGCTAAAGTAGGATTGTGTGATTCTTTGAGGTCTCATTTTTCATTTTGCACACCTGTGGTTGAATGAATTTGGGTTACAGCTGCACAGGAAGTGCAGTAATAGCGCTTCTTTTTTTGGGGGGGAGGGGGTTCAGCTCTGCACAAACGTACACACTAAGAGTTAACCCAAAGGTGAAGTAACCAGACTATTGAAAAACCGTGAGCTCAGACCTTTGAATTGGTGTTAATAAAGCAAACGCCCCAGAAGCAGCTTTTAAAGTGTGCAGACTCTATGTTTGTGCCTTTACTTTCCTCTGAGGCACCTGAATTTCCTTTAACTGCTCCTCAACCATATTTACTCACACCCCCTGTGTGAATCTCCCCTGGGTTATTTTTGTCAGCAACATTGATATCGCAGACTACTCATTTGAATTCACCCATCTCAAGTGTCACCCCTTCTTCAAGGTGGCACTCACTTTAGCTGCCAGATGGACCCCGCCTCTCATTGAGCCTCATTTCACCCCTATAACTGTTCCCCCTCCCTCCCTCCCTCTATTATTCCCTCCAGGGCTATTTTTAGCAACAGTGCTGACATCACAGGACAGAGGAGGCTGATGCTCCTCAGAGTGACCCTCCCTTCCAGCGCTGCTGTGTCTCTCTGCACTGACAGCTACATCTGTGCCCCTCTCTTACTGCCTCTCACAGTGACCACCTAATGATATATAATGCATAGATTGAAGACAGGTGATAGACGAGGCCTGTTTTTCCTCAGCTGGAAAAGATTTTGGTGTGTTTGGAGCTCGTTCTTGTTGCACTGGGCCCCGGTTTTTAACACACCGCCGCTTTAACACACCACCAATCAGTCCATCTGTGATGAAGTAATGCGCCACAGAGACTGTTATATGTTTATGTAACACTGTGTGTGTGTCATTTATAGGGGTGGGGTGTGGGTTGTGCAATACTTGTGTGTGTGCGTGCGTGTGAAACACAGAGGCTAAAATGCACATCCCAAAATAATGGTGAATTTCTTGCTTGTGTGTTTCTATCGTTTTTTTTTTTCTTCTTTTTTTTGTTCCTCCCACCCAGTGAGCCCGTCACGTCACAGCATCTCCGAGTGGAGGATGCAGAGCATTGCACGAGACTCTGACGACAGCTCGGACGAGGAGTTCTTCGATGCTCACGGTAACTTGCTGCTCTGATTTGTAAAGTAAATGTGGAAACTGGGTGAAATGTTTCTAACTTGTTTGGCTCCCCTTTCTTCATTTCCTGTGAATGCGTCTCTTTAATCGCAGATCAGTTCTTAAGCTTCCCAGATACCCAGCATGCTTTGGGGCTACAGTTGAACTAGGTGGGTGTGCTGCAGCACCCGTTCTTCCTGCTGGATAAGTTTGGCCGAGAAGACACGAGCCAGGTGTCTCATCCCAGTATCACGTTCAAAAATCACAATCGTCTCTGCCCAACTTCATTCACACAGTTCACGGTGCATCAAAGAAATAAAAGAACCCCTTTGAAATGTGTGTGTGTGTGTGTGTGTGTGTGTGATTCACAGTTTACTCAATATGATGAATGAGAATAAAATTATGCATGATGCAGTCATTGATTACACTGATACTAATTTTGCTGCATTCATTAGTTTCCACCTACCCCGAGTTTAATAGGTTGCTCGTGACACTATGAGTCGCTGGAAAACAATAACTAAAATGAATTGTGTTGACGTCTAATTATTTTTTTTTTTCATATTAACATGTGTCACAGTATTCGTGTTTATATGGATTCATTGTTTGTGTGTGTGTGTGTGTGTGTGAGAAGCAAAAGCCAGATGGCCTGCTTAAAACGTCATGATTTATGAACACTTATTTAATTATGGGTAAATAAATGAGGGCATCAGAATGAGCTTATACATGTAAGTGTTTATAAATCACATGATGGAAGTGCACAAATTAAATCTGGAAAACGACTGAGTTGGCTCAGATTGCTTCCAATTTTAGGCTTCTGTCTTTAAAGTTCTTGTGATCTTCTTGCAGTAACCATCCATCTCAAGGATTAGAAAAGTGTGTGTGCAAGTTTATTTTTACACTCCATTTTTTTTTTTTAATGCAAATGAATAAAGGAAGGAAAAAAAAAAGCTAAGGAGGTGAATTTGCCAATGATGGTACACCTGTAATCTGTCGTATTTAATTAACATGTTTTATTTAAATCATTGAAGGTTTATTAATAAAAATCTTGCAGTGGAATAAAGAAAATCTGACATTTTTTTAATCCAGTTTAACACTGGATTGTTGTTCATATTAATGAATAAATTAGAAGGTTGTTGAAGCAACTGAGGAAACAAATGAAATAAAGGACTCTGTTGATTTCGAGTCAGAAGATTTTGTGTGTTAGGAACAATGCTACAAAAACTTGCCGCAAGCCCCTGTGAGTATTCCAGCCAAATCGTTATGAAATAAAGATTGTCATTTGATTTCCTGCGTTGATGCTGTTTATTTGTAGTGTAGCTGCTGTAGAAATAAATAGGACATGATTTGATTTTAGGTCAAATCTTGATTACCCAGCTAAAGTGAACGCTGTTGGCAAAAATCGCCCCGAGAGGAATTAAAAAGGATCTGTTTGAAGTCCTTTTAAAATCACAGGTTAATGTCAGTAGATCAGCGAGACAATTCATCCATATGTGTGCATGAATTTAAGGCGCATAGTGAAATTTTTGTAGCAGGTAATCATGGAGGAAGTTGACTGTTTTTAGTTTATAGAAAATAAATTATAGTGATACAATAAATGCAAAACAACGTATACTCACTGTGTGTGGATGATCACACATGGAAACACCAAGCTTCATGTGCATTTGTGTAGGTTGTTAACTTGTAGGAAACCCTAAGAAGGTTCCTTTTCCTTCATTCCCTTATTTATTAGATCACTTTGACACTGACAGGGTTCATTTAGATAATTTTTCTTTTATTGTTCATTTTTAGCGGTTTATCTTTGTTGTTCTATTTTATTTGTTTGCACATTTATTTATTTATTTTTATATCCCATTATTTGTTGACACGCAGCAGGGTTTGTGGTTCGTGTTTAATGATGGCATTGTGTGCGTTTGATTGGGTGAATAGGTTGTCAGGGTAAGCTGCAAACAAATTGGCCTTTCTTGGGATTAATAAAGCAATCTGGCACTCTGAATCTGAACTCTTGGTGTAATAATCCATTCGAAACCCCTGAATAGTGAATACAGTTTTAACCGATCTGTTGACACCCCCCTCACAGAGGATCTCTCTGATGGAGAGGAGGTCTTCCCGAAAGAGATTGCCAAGTGGAACTCCAATGACCTCATGGACAAGATCGAAGCTGCAGAAACGGAGGAAACTCCTGGTATGATGAACACCTCTACATGGGCAGGCACAGCCCTATGACACTTGATGTTAAATGTGTGTATGTGTGTTTGTGTTTCTAGGTGAGCTGTTCAAGGAAATGACTGTTGATTATGAAAGAGCAACCAGCGAGGAAAGATTAGATGAGGTATGTGTGTCACACATTGACTCCCAATGCAAATAACACACCTATAACTCGCACTCCTCTGATGCCCATCCATGTCTGGAATAAATATCCCTTACAAGCGATCTGCTGAAAGTTTCCTTCAGGACATGATTTAATTTGAGTTTAGCTGCTAAAAAAACATATCAGGCTTTAAACTTTGGAGGATAAGAGCCTCTCTGTCCTCTTGTGTTCAGATGCGTGGCTGTCTTAGCGGCCAAGCCGATAGCTCTCCCATTCCCACCATCACGGTAACAAGGCACCAGTCAGTAAGTAAACATTTTGGCCCCAGTGCAATGTGGGGTACAACAGTTCTTCAGACACCTCCAGTCTATTAAATGCCCCTGCCCTTATCCTTGCCGTAGCCCGAACCCAAATCCATGTGTACTCCTCAACCTCTCCACCTTCTGTTCGACCCCCTCCCCCCTCCTCTGTACTTAATGGAAATGTGAAGTTTTGGATTGGAAGTAAAAGACAAAACTACACATTGTGCTGTGCTAATTAGTGTGACCTTGTCGTCGGGAAGCATGGTTGTTGTTTGCTGTTAGTTGAACGGTTGTCCAGGTGAAGGTTGGCTCTGTTATGTGTCTTCATGGTTCCTCACCCCTCAGTGGCTATGAAAAGCAGTTTGCTTTGTAATTCATGTTCAAAACGATGGACGCAAAACGTTGCAAGTCGTACCTTTTGAATCGGTTAAAAAGTGATTTGATGCCCATTTTCAAGGCCTCGTTTATCTCTTTTTGTTTGCTTGTTTTATCACTCACAGTAAGTATGTATTCTTTGGTCATGCTGATGAAGTAAATAAACATTTTATTGGATATTTTCCCGATAACGCGCCTTAACATTCCCGTCCATAACGCTGCTTATTAAATTTGCTGTTCTCAGGAGAGCTCTTCCCAGCAGTGTCTGCAGCCCTCCAAGATCCATGTGCTCATCTTGGTCTTGCATGGAGGGAACATCCTGGACACAGGAGGAGGCGACCAGAACAGCAAGCAGGCCGACGTCAACACAATCAGTACGGCTTTCGACACAGTCATGCGTGTTCACTATCCTGCGGCGCTGGGACGCATCGCCATCCGCTTGGTGCCCTGCCCTGCCATCTGTGCTGAGGCCTTCTCCCTAGTGTCCAAGTAAGAGCACACTCATACACACATTTCTCTGCAGGCTCAAAACCTCATGGATAATGATTGAAGGTTTGTGTGCAGTTAGGTTCATGATTTATTGGATGAAGACAGAATTCTTGTGGTTTTGCACAACCGCAGTGGAGTTTAAATCAGATAATCAAGCAAGATGTGATTGAAGTGTAGACTTTCAGCTTTTATTTAAGAGGTTTGATATAGAATTTCATTAACTGTTTAGGAATTACAGACATTTTTATACAGTTTCTAATTTTAGCTCTAAAGTAATTGGGCAAATTTACATCATTTTAAATGTAAGGATCCTAAGGCTCAGTGACTGCCTAAAGTCTAGAGCCCATATACATTTTCTGTTGAAGTGCTCTGGTGAACCTTTACTACAAACACTTGAGTTGCTGCTTGTTTAATAACTGAAAAGCTGTGCCTTTGAGCTGAGATCAGGTGACTGACTCAGCTATTGAAGAATATCATATTTCTGTACCCTGAGAAACTCTTGGGTTGCTCTTACAGTTTGCTTTGGGTCATTGTCCATTTGCACTGTGAAGAACTGTCCGATCAGTTTTGCAGCATTTGTCTGAATCTGATCAGAGAGTGTAGCTCCATACACTTCAGTTAATCCTGCAGCTCTGTCAGCGGTCACATCACCAATAAACACAAGTCCTCCGATTATACTGGCAGCCATACGTACCCATACCTTCAAACTGCCTCCACCATGTCTGACATTATGAGCTGTTTCTCTAATACTCTATATTTTCTCATCCATGTTCATGCTGGTGTCATCTATCCACAGATATTTTTATGCGGTGTAACCAGTGGTTTGCACCTTGCTGCAAATTCTCTGTATTTAAGTTCATGAAGTCTTCTTTTGATTGTAGATTTTGCCAGTGATAATTCTGCCTCCTGTGGTGGTGGTTGTTGTTTTTTGTGTTAACGATGTAAATAATTCCTCACACACTTTGGCCTTCTTCAGTGGTCTTTCAGTGTACAGGATTGTTTATTTGGCCACTCCTGAAGTTTTGTCTGTCTCTCTCTCTCTGAGAGGTTGATTTAGGTTTTTCAGCCCAATGATGGCTGATATTTATATTAACAGTTAAAAGCTTTAAAATGTAAATTCAACACTTTGAATCAACTTCAATTATGTCTTCTTCATTTATCATGACATAACAAGTGAACATGCCTCACCTGGCCTTGGAACTGCTCGTCAGTCAATTGTAAAATTAGTTTTGAGCCACTAAAAATGAGGGACTCTATTAAAAAAAATGCATCTGACTTTGTTAAACCCCTCCAATTAAACTCAAAGTGCCTTTCAGCCACATCCTGATTTGTAATTTAAAAATAACAACAAAAATTGTGTGTTTGTGGAACAAATTGTGGTTCTAACTGTATTTTAGCTCGATAGCTGTTTACTTATGATGGAAGAGGTCCAGGTGCAGCTCGTGACTCTTGTCCCCTCTTCCTGCGTTTATTTATTCTCCCGTGTGCATGCCTTGGGTTTTAAATTTTATAATTAGATTTTTATCCACTAATGTTCTCACAGCCTGAGCCCTTACAGCTACGATGAAGGTTGTCTGTCCAGCAGCCAGGACCACATCCCGCTGGCAGCCCTGCCTCTCCTCGCCACCTCTTCTCCACAGTACCAGGATGCTGTGGCCACCGTCATCTTCCGAGCCAACCAGGTGTATGCGGACTTCATAAAATCTCTGGACGGGGCTTCTTTCTCCGGCCAGGTCAGATACCGATGGGGTTTGTTGTTCTTGTATGCTGTTTAATAAAGAATTGGAGTCATTAGAGTTGAACCAGCTGTACTTTTCGGAGCCACAATATCCTTACATCCAGCGTGTAACTGCAGAAGTCTTTTAAGGTGATCCTGAACCCCACGCATATATGTAATAAATATTTTTCATCCTTTAACTCTCCAGGTTTGCCTCATTGGGGACTGTGTGGGAGGAATCTTGGGCTTTGATGCTCTGTGCAGCAGTAATCAAACAGTAAATGAGAGCCAGAACAGCAGTCGCAGGGGCAGTGTCATTAGCGTACAGGTAAGCGAGACATCCTCCAGCATTAATGAATGCACGGCGACAGTATCGGCTCATCCTAAACAGTGCCTGGAACACTCCTATGTGCACCTTTAACCTGTTTTGTTCTTCTTAATTAGCTCATTTGTTGATATTTTTTTCTTAAGGTGCTGGAAGTTTTTATGACACATTTTCACAAATTGCCCCTGCAGGACCAGGATCTTCTCTCTCCTGGCATCATTGTCAACAGCGGACACGGATCGGCGTCTCCAACCTTGGAGGGCAGTCGCCACCTCAGTCGCAGCAACATCGATATCCCACGTACCAGCGTGGGCGACGACACCAAGAGACAGCTGCCTCGGAAGAGAAGTGACTCTTCCACCTACGAGCTGGACACCATAAAGCAGCACCAGGCTTTCCTGTCCAGGTGTGTCGTCCGTGGGAGGACAAACTCTTTATGTGGAATGAACTTCTTTTGTCCTTTTGTCATGCACTGTCAGAATATGTTTTATTTTTAGTTCCAGGCACGAAAGTGACTTTGTGTTGTCCTCCCAGCTTACATTCCAGTGTCCTGCGGAACGACACAACCTCCCGAAGGTCGAGCAGTAGCACAATGCTGGATGGAGGCTCCCTGGGGAAATTTGACTTCGAAGTGTCCGACTTTTTCCTCTTTGGCTCTCCACTTGGCTTGGTACTCGCCCTGAGAAAGACTGTGATCCCCATGTTAGATGGTGAGCTTCATTTACCAGGCTTTGTACAATCTGTAAAGTGAAAGGTTTGCCCCAGATGGAAATCTGCTTATTACTATAGACACCTATAGACCAGGCTGTCATCAAAATATGCTTGAATTCTTCCCTTCCTCTTTCTTATGTCTCTGGTTTCATTTCTCCCCCTAGTGGCCCAGCTACGACCTGCCTGTCAGCAGGTTTATAATCTGTTCCACCCCGCTGATCCTTCAGCCTCCCGCCTCGAACCTCTGCTGGAGCGGAAATTTCACCTCCTCCCTCCGTTCAGCGTGCCCCGTTACCAACGCTTTCCCCTGGGAGATGGAAACTCCGCCCTGCTGGGTGAGCTCTTTTTACAGATGATAGATGAAAGGCCACGTTAATGTGAAGCTTTCAGTTTTTGTACGTCTGTCTTGGATGCGCACACACACGAATGCAAAATACCCTTTAAAAAACCCAGCAACAACCACTTAAGATCACATCACCTGATGCTTCAGATGCTGATTTTAACCCACTGTCCTTTTTCCCATGGATGCACACCATAGATGGCTTAAAGATGCCTTAGCAGCATGCGTTGAGTTCATTTACAAAGTAGACACTGCCTGAAAGAAAAATTACACGCTTTTCTACTGTTTGTGCTTCGGTATGTTTTGTGAAGGAGTTTATTAATCTCGGTGTTGTCACAGTCCCACTGGTGGTTTCTGTTTGGACTGATCTTTATAGCGGAGGATGCCTACCCTGTTTATACAATTACATGTCTGCTGTTCTCGAAGAAAACGCACACAGAATTTAATAAGATCTTTAATGAGGAGAAATTTCTTCTTTCTTTTTAAAAAAAAAAGATATCTAACATTATTGAATCAGGAACTGAGGCTTAGTAAGGATGGACACCGGGGTTAATAAAGATGTTTAATATGGTTAAGATGTTTCTTAATTACTTCAGACCAGAGTTTTTGTGTTCCCTGGTGGTCATGGCCTCCATCAGATCAGCTACCAATGACCATCTTCAGGCCTTTCAAATTTTTTATAGCGATGAAGTTTCAAAGACAATTTCAAGATCAATGTTAAGGCAAGAGAGTTCAAATGATTTCATAAATAGCATATTGCAGGCTTTTTCTAGTCTTAGAACAGGGTCATATGTCAGCTTATTGTGTCTCTGAGGAGCAGCTGTGGTCCAGGAAAAAGTGAGCTCCACTAAGGGCTCGACTCTTGTTCCTTGTTCAGTTCTTGCTTCATATGTTTTTGTCTTCCTTGTCTTCTTTCCTTCCTCCTCTCTTGGCCTCCTGTCTCCATATCCGTGTACCTTGCTCTCTACCTCTAAAACCTCCTCCCCTGACTTCTGCCCCTCCACCCATCCCCCTCTGTAGTGGAGACAGTCCAGAGCAACGCTCAGCTGCTGCTTGACAGCGGGCCTCTCCTGTCCCTTCGCTGTCAGGAGACCATCAGTGAGACCTGCATCCCTGTACCTGTGCTAAACTGGCAGGAGGGCTCCCTCAAAGCCACACCCGCCACTATGGAGTGTGTGTAGCCTCTCCCATTCACCTCTATCTGTTCCCAACCCTCATTCGCCGTATCTCTGTCGTCCCTGTGTTCGTCCCTCTCGCCATTACGTCGAGATGCTCAGATTCCAGGCCGCCTCTTACTCTCTTTGAGTATGTCCATGCTGTCATTTCAGTGTCTCCAAATACTGATAAATACATATATATTTTACCTTTTAGCATCGTGTCTTCTGGTTTACAATTTAAAAAGAAATGTAGCCAATTGGAACATCAAGTCATGGAAATACTCGAGACAAATCTGCTAAGCATCTCTTGTGGTGCTGTGTTTTGCTTTGTGCCATCACATTTTCATGACAGAGTTTGGAAGATGCAAGCGTCTGTGTTTGTGTGCTGCGGTTTTAAGGCCGGTTTCAGTGTATTTGCATCATCTCTGTAATATTAGCTGATTTGTGGTGACATAGGGGGGTTTTTTTGTTTCCTTTTTTTTTTTTTTACTGTTTTTTTTAATTTCCAAAAAAAGGTTTTGATGTGCTGCTTGTGACGTGTTTGTGCAGTGGACTTGGAGCTCTGTGTGTACATGCTAAATAGACTGAAGCCTGTGCTTCTCCTTGTGATACTAGTCAGAGGTCTTGTGATTTTACTAAATCTCTGACGTTATTTTATTTTCAAGCCATTAGAATAGGCTCTGAATTTAAAAATCACCTCCATAAGACATACTAATATTACTGTAGAAGACGTTATATTTGTGATTTTACATTCACTGTGTGTTTAATGTCTTCATTTACCAGTCACGTGTTGATCGGTGAAGAAATGTGACCGGGGCCTCGCCGCCTGCTGTCACATTTCTCACCTGCATTCCCCCTCCTCCCCCAACCGTCACCGAGTTCCCCCTTACCTGTGTCTCTGTCTAATGGGATCTCCTTGTTTGGGCTCAATAGCGGATGTTGTTCAGTCTCATGGTGGTGTCTTCATGGACAGTTCGTACCCCTCATCCCCCGTAACGGGCCCCCTCTCCCGGGGCCAGCGGAGGGCCAGTGAGGTCAGCATTGCCAGCCAGGTCTCAGGAATGGCAGACAGTTACACTGCCACCAACATAGCCAACAGTAAGTGCTCTCAATACCAAACAGTCTCTCTTTCTCTCTTCCTTCCACTCACACAAACACTCTTCTAGTAATTCTCCCGCTTTCTCTCACTTTCAGCCCAACTTTTATCTGCTTTTATCTGTCCTACTTTCTCTTTCCAACACTCCGACATCATTTACTCTCACTCTGACTCTACACACACCCTGCTGTCCTGCAGAAACAGTCTAGTCAGCCACGTTGAGTGTCCCGCTCCTTTTTGCTCTTTTCTGCTTTGCCAGATTTGGGGTTGAAGTGAGACTCATGTAAGGTGATTTATCCATCTCCTGTTAAAACTAAGACAAGATCAGAGTCCCGGAGAAGAAACCAGCTTAGAGCCACTTTCCACTGTCTGTCTTTCTCTTATTCACTGTCTCAATGTAAACGCAATGAACGAGTGCTGCATTTAATTAATGTGGCGATGCATGTAGACACCTGTTTCCCTCAGCCATTCCTGCATTGTCAACTCCCTATTGCAGTGTTTGCTGAGATAACCGGTACTGTTTCCTCTTTGTTTGAATGTCCTTTGAATTCCTCCTCCCCCTCACCCGTTCACTTCTGTTACCAGAACATTTATTTGTGCCTCATGTTACTGCGCCTGAACACTGCTGTTCAGCCACCCACAGTATAACCCTGGAAATGTGCTTAAACTGATTACGACATGTTTCTCTTCACCAACAGCATCACTCTGCCCCATTTACCTGAGCGGTTCCTAATATATCTTTAGGCCTTACACAGTCACAGCTCTTTTTAAAACTGTCCAAGCTGTCCTAAACTGTCACAAGTGAATTTGTATTCATCATAACATATATGGTTTCTTTATCTTTTTGTTATTTTTGCTGTTGTTCCCCCCATAGCTGAATCAAACCAGGTTAACCAATCCAAAAAATACAGTCTTTTGTCCCTACTCGCCCTATCATCACAAAACAAATTCTTCCTGAAAACTCCTCCCACGTCCCGTAAGGAAACAAAGGCTTGCCAGGCCGCAGGATCTTCTGATGCATATGTAGCGGCAGAGCTGGACGATGAGGCAGACTGTAGTGAACCTCTAAGTCCCACCGGCCAGTACGAGAACTACCGGGCAGGGCTGGACTTTGCTATATCTGATCTGGTCTCACTGGACTCCCAGGCTGAAGTGGACCAAGGTATTTTTATAAGGAAGGGAGCTACTGAAATCGGTGTGAGGCTACGGCTCTCTTCCGTGTGCTGCTCTGTTTTGTGCCACAGTCGAAAGACTCAGTGCTGCTCTTCCAAAAAGCCTCTTTGCCTCTCTTTCACTTCATTTTTCTAAAATGTAATTCACAGCGATTCAGGTGCATTCACTGTCACTGATGAGGGGTAATCCATAAATCTAGATGCTGCCGGGGCTTTTAAAATCATTCATCTTCTTTCACACGCAGACTAACACAAATAACCACCTTCAGCTGCTCATGTAATCAGCTCTAACTATCGGTTCCTGTTCTCAGCCTTTGGATTTGCTGATAATAACCATTATAAACTCCTTCCTTTCCCTCCTGTAGCTGAAGAACTGCTGGGATTGGTGATGAGTGTGGCTGAAAATTGAAATCAACTTCTTTTTTTTCTTTTTCTTTTTTTGCTATAACATCAGGGGTGTTGCACCTTTCTGTGGCACCACATACCTCATGCTGGCTCTTTGAGTTTCATCTTACGTCTCTGTACCCTATTCACTCCATTCCCATTGCAGTTGCAGCACGCTGGTGGGGCACAAAGCGGCTGGACTTTGCCCTGTACTGCCCCGATGCCCTAACAGCTTTCCCCACAGTGGCTTTACCGCACCTGTTCCATGCATCATACTGGGAGTCTACTGATGTTGTGTCTTTTCTCCTGAGGCAGGTGAGTAAACAGCAATAATGAAAGTGTTAGGACTTATTCAAAAATTCTCAGTATGAATCACTGAATTGTCCCCTTTCAGGTCATGAGGCATGAAAACTCAAGCATTCTGGAGCTCGATGGAAAAGAAGTGTCTGAATTCACCCCCTCTAAACCTCGAGAAAAGTGGCTCCGCAAGAGGACTCACGTGAAGATCAGGGTGAGCATCTTATCTGGAAACGAAGTCTGTTTCAGAGAGCTTTAACAATTTTAACAATACGATACGACAATACTCCCTTTTAAAAGGAAGTAACTGCCGTTAGGGTTGAGGGGAAGGAAACGTGACGACACTCTGGACGACAGCCAAAGATTATTAATGACCAATTCCAACCAATATGCAAAAAAAAAAAAAAAATGTTGTTGGTATTTGTAGACTGTTTTTGTTTAAATAAAGATAAAGCAACACATCAGCATTTTCCCTTTGTTTCTTCTGCATTGACAGAATGTGACCGCCAACCACAGAGTGAATGACGCCGTCTTCACTGAAGATGGCCAGCAGGTCTTGACAGGCCGCTTCATGTACGGCCCTCTGGACATGGTGACTTTGGCCGGGGAGAAGGTGAACATGCTTCTGTCTTTAGGAGCTCACCTCCTGCTGTTAGAGATACCTGGGAAATCTTTTTTTCCTTTTGTAAGGTCACTTCTAAGTGGATTTTAAGTCTCATACATTTGAGACATGTGCCTTATGTTTGACAAACAATCCAAAGTTCAGGTGTATATATAATGATTGCTGTGAAATTTTAGCTTCATAAATTTCAAGATATATTATTGAAACTTGGTCCGTTGACCCTGGACATCTTGAAATCTGAGCCACTGCTTGAGCACAAGTATGTCACAAACTATTCAAGATAAAAGCCTGAAGCATTCACTGGCCTTACTAGAGTATTTGCCAGTTGGCTAGTAGAGCCCTACATTTGAGCACTCACTAATAATGTGAAACATTTAGAAAACGTTTTAACGTGAAATATTTAATCATAAAAATGAAGAAAATGTTGTTTTCGTTCAACTTTACCTCTGGGTTGAGGAAATATGACAAAAACTCAAATATCTGTAGATCGGCTGTATTGAAACGCTTTTGTTTCCTTTTCATTCCTGCGCAGGTCGACCTCCACATCATGACCCAGCCACCATCGGGAGAATGGGTGTACTTCAACACCGAGGTGACCAACAGCAGCGGGCGCGTGTCTTTTGTCATCCCAGAGGACAAGCGTCTGGGAATCGGAGTGTACCCGGTTAAAATGGTGGTCAGGTGAGATTAGCCTGGTACCAAACTGTTATTGTATTTTATATATTCAAGCTTTTTGTCCGTTTATCTTCACAGAGCCTGGTTTCCATTTGACTTTTAGCTCACTTTATTGCAGCTCATTTTTTCTTTAATCTTTTTGTTTCCATTTCCTTACTCTTTTTCTTTTTATTCACCAGGGGTGACCACACGTTCGCTGACAGCTACCTGACAGTTGTTCCACGTAGCACGGAGTTCGTAGTGTTCAGCATTGATGGTTCATTTGCTGCCAGCGTTTCGATCATGGGCAGTGATCCCAAAGTGCGAGCTGGAGCTGTAGATGTTGTCAGGTAGCTGGCTGCTCTTCTTTTCCTGTTTTCTTGGCTTCACATATTTTCTCCCTGATTGAACTTTAAGATCTGGTGTGTCCTGCTGCTTCTCCTTATTTCAGGCACTGGCAGGATTTAGGCTATCTGATCATCTACGTGACCGGACGGCCAGACATGCAGAAGCAACGGGTAGTGGCCTGGTTGTCTCAGCACAACTTCCCTCATGGCATTGTCTCCTTTTGCGACGGCCTGGTCCACGACCCACTCAGGCACAAGGCTAACTTCCTCAAGTCTTTGACAGAGGTCAGAGTGGGGGTGGGAGAGGGGACAGTGAGTGTTTTAAATAAGGAAACAGAAGCGACAAATTCTGACAACCCATTATTATTTTAAAAATGTAGCCAGGATTGAACATTTCTCGTCTTCATTTCTTCAATTTCAGGCACACATGAAGATTTTTGCTGGCTATGGATCAACCAAAGACATCTCAGTCTACACCTCCATTGGCCTCCCTTCTTCTCAAATATACATTGTTGGCAGACCTTCTAAGAAGATGCAGCACCAGTGCCAGGTATCACTTTCTGCACACCCTGAGAAAAGATCTTGTTAATAGTCTCTTCTCACATAAAAAAAAAAAAAAAACTAAAGTAAAAGCTCAAGTCACCGCAAAATGTGTTGCTTTTTAGTTGACAGTTGTTTCTCTGATCCTTCAACAGTTCATCACAGAGGGATACGCAGCTCATCTGTCCCAGCTGGAGTACAACCATCGCTCTCGGCCAGCCAAGACCACCAGTGCACGCATGGTGCTACGCAAAGGCAGCTTTGGCTTGGGAGCAAACAGTGACTTCTTGAGGAAGAGGAACCATCTGTTACGCACCATCTCCTCTCAGCCAGCCCCCAGCTCTCCGACGGGCAGCATCCACAACAGGCCGGAGCGCACGCAGAGCCAATCAGACAGCGAGCGGCTGGAGCGGGAGCGGCTGGAGCGCGCTCACAGCCACGGCCAGGGAGGGGCCCAGCGCAGCATGAGCATCACGGCCAGCTGCTGGGGCCGCAGCAGCAGCACCAAGCTGGAGCCTGGAGTTTTCAGCTCAAAATGAGACTGGAGACACGATGCAGGGTTCGGGAGAGTGACTTACAAATGCAGTGCTGAGGAAGAGACGCAAAGTGACGTGAATATAAACGCAAACAGTGGAAAGCAGTTGGCTTCTTGCACCAGATAGGTAAAATACCATAAGGAAAAAAATCAGGTGCTACAAATCACTCTTTATAAAAACTAACACCAGTCACATTCAGCACAGATATTTATGGGCAGAGCATGAGGCAACATTCATGATAACACAGACCAACATTTCAAGAAGTGTTGCCCCAATGCGGGAAAGTGCACACAACCAAATAAAGCTAATATTGTAGGGATCCAGGCTGTTTGTACTGTTTAGTAAATATTTATTAGTCTTGAATACAAGGTCAGTTTTGCTCCTCCAGCACATGGAGACAGTTACACACACACACACACACACACACACACACACACACACACACACACACACA